ACGGTGATATCTCCCCGCTGTACCGCTTTACAGTTACTGGCCAATACCGATTCCGTTTTTGTGGAGGGCTATATGCAGCTTCGCTCCTTATATCCAGTTACCAATCATGTCGATCGCCTCGGTCGCCAACACTTCCACCTCTTCCAGCGTTTCGCCTGTTACCGTCAAGACGACGTCGTCCACAAATCCAACGATCTCAACTCCTTTGGGCAGCTTCAGCGTTAGCACGCCGTTGTACATCCCGTTCCAGAGCGTTGGACCAATGATGGTGCTTTGTGGAACTCCTGCTGTGATCCTAATCGATCTCTGTCCCATGTCTGTCTGTCGACTGACTAAACTGAAGCAAATTTCAATAATGATGCACTGATGCACTTCCCGTATTCGCATTTCCAAAATTTTACCGAATTTTGTAATAATTGACTACATACTGTACGTTAATAGAAAAAGTTACCTTTAAAAAAATCTTTGTATGAAACAAACTAACAACCAAAGTCTTCACCGCGCACCGGGGTGATTCTCCCCGGTGAAGCAAACGAACTCTCTACGGTGCTCCCTAGTGATCACTCATACGCTCCGGTGTGTTGGACTGGTGGAGGTGCGAACGTCAGAAACTGTATTTGTTTGCGAAGTGGGAGAAGCGGTAGAAAGTGAAAACAAAATAAAAATCTCTCGGGCGAGTTTGCTTTTGTCATAGTCATCACCCTGCTTGCTCTGGGGAGAATAGCATCCCTGCTTGCTTTTTTCTAAGTTCTTGAAACCACTATGAAAATCTTGGAATTCCCCTAATATCTGATCACAATTTCCTGATGTTCATGTTTCTTCCTAAAATTAAAATGAACCTCTGGGAACTTCATAAATTTCCTGAGTTTCCCGGAACTTTTAAAAGTTCCTGAAACTGCCATGAAATTTATTGCACTGTCCTTATATTGCGAAGTATTGCTAAAGTTCGCTGAATTCTTCTGAAGTTCCTGGTACTGCCCTAAAACAAATGGAACTATCCTAAAAAATCTTTAAACTTTCCTGGTGATTTCTGGGCTTCTTTGTAGTTCCAAAATGTTCAATAAAGTTTTCTAAAGTTCTCTGGACTACTTTGAAATTATCGGAACTATTTAGGGTTCTCGAAATTTTCATGGAGTTCATGAAACTGTTCTGAATTTGTGAGAACTTACGCTTACGGAACATACGGTTACGCTTAAAACTTTCCCGAAAGCCCGGACTTTTCTGCAATTCTCGAAACTTCCCTGAAGTTATTGCAACTGTCCATAAGATCTCTGTAATCCCCCCAAAGATCTCTAGACTTAGCTTCTTTGAAGTACTTGGGTCCACAATTTTCTTCAAGTTATCTTTACATCTTTGAAGTTTTCTGGATATTCCTGAATTTCACCGAACTTCTTAAAAGTTTCTGCAGTTTTCCTGAAGCAAATGGGACCCCTTTAAGTTTTTTAAGCTCCGCAGAGGTTTATAATATATTCCAAAACATATTGGAACTTGCCTTATATTCTCGCAGTTTGTTTATGAAACTTTCTTGAAATTATCAGCATTTACTTTAATTCCACAGAACTTCTTCTAAGTTCCAACATTATTTTTTTTAAATTATTGGGACTGCCCTGAAGATCTCCAGTCTTTCTTAAAGTTCACGAAGCATCGCTGAAGTTCTCACTAATTTACTGGTAATGATCTGGAATTGACATAAAGGTCTCTGAACCTCCCTGAAGTTCGCTGGATATTCTGTAAAGTGTCAGAATTTTTTCTTAAGTTCACTAAACTTTCCTTAAGTTTTATGGACTGCATTCTAATTTTCTGTGCTTGTCGATATTCTCCTGAAATTAATGAAAGTGACCTAAAGTTCTAAAAATCTACTTGAAGTTATGGAGGCGAACCAGCCCAAGGCTGAAAGCCTCCTTAATAAAGTTAAATAATAATAATAATACTTGAAGCTATTCTAACCTTTCCTGAAGTTCTCATTTTCCTGATACTCATGGAACTGCGTTTAAATTTTCAGAACTGCCCAAAGTTCACGTTGCTTTTCTAAAAATCTTTAAACTTATAACTGAAATTTTGGCATCAACTGTAAAGTTTTTGCTATCTACCTGAAGTGTATGGAACTGCCCTGAAGCTCTCTGATATTCGATTAAGTGAATTTTTGTGAAATATATGGGACCGTATTGCTATCGGAACTTATTCTTCGAGCTGCATATTTAAGTTGGGATATGTAGGTATCTGTCTTGATAGGAACGCATGAGCATTCATGAGGCGCATTCAATTCAATTTGTACTTGATGGGCGCATTTTACTTTTCATAGAACATTTAAAACGGGATTTTTTTAAATGTTTGTTTTTAAAATTGTTATATTTCCTTCCACATTTAAAGGCATTGGTTAAATCTAGATGAAGACAGAACATTTCTCATGTTGTTTTGCTGGTCAAGTTGGACACCGGAAAACCCCATATAGGGGAAATGGCTCTAATGTTACACTAAACGAAAATCAATTATTTTATTCGTGTGTTTAACTTATAGATTTTTGCCAAAACATCAGCCTTATACATTCCATAAGACAAACCATATAGGTCCTGTAAGAATGCATAAAAGGTATGTGTGACCGCTTATACATTTCATTTGACACATGATCTTCATTAACTTTTTGCAAGGCGTCTGCTTTTTAGTTGATTTATACATTTTATGAATAATCAGCAATAGAAATTTGCCAAAAGGTATATCCGTGTATGGATCAAAGATTGGGCCCATCGCTAAAAATCTGCTATTTTTCAATTTTATCTAGATGAACGCGTCATTGGGACAGTACTAATGGATATTTTTGGTCGCTATTGAAAATTTAGTCGATTGCTGAATTTATGTATGGGCTCAAATTAGAGACATTTAGGCTGACATTACATCCATTTCCCCTATGCTAGATAATAGTTTCTTTAATCAAACTGTGGGTTGAAAATAGCTGGAAATGATTTTACATGGCCGTGTGGTTGCAAAGAGAATTTGGCAATGGTAATTAGGACCTAGTCCATAAGGCTATCCACGAGACAGTTGCGATCAGCTGACAATTTAGTTTACCAAGAACTTTTGACCGATCACAGTAGAACTACTGGCAGTTTATTCTCATATGAATTTCTGCTTTGTTTATGTTTACATTCAGCACCATTAGCTCCAGATCACTCACACATTCTAGATTTTTAGCTGTCATGTTCGACTGAGAAACGTCTCTTGGATCACCTTATAGACTTCTTTGACGTTTGTGAAATGCACAAGTATTAGTGCAAAACTCGGGGTAAATTATCAGGCCTATTCTGCGCGGCGTGTGAGGTGAGGTGACACGCTCTCACTCGTGAAGTGACAATTGTCACCTCGGGTGAGGTGACTCTCCGTGCAAATCAAATGGAGAGTCGACAATTGTCACTTCACCATCACTTCACTGTCACTTCACCTCACACGCCGCGCAGAATAGCCCTGTATAAGTATTAGTGCAAGAAATCCTTTGAATTTACCCAAAATTCTGCACTACTACTTGTGCAATTCACAATCGTCAGAGAAGTCTATTGGCAAATCAAAGTTGGCACTCGTGAAGAATAGAAGAACTATGAAAGTGATGATGATTTCAAAATTTTCCACGGGGAGGTATACAAGTGCAATTTTAAAATGCTTTTATTTCGCAAATGGAGCATTTTATTTAAATCTGGTTGCTGCTACAGTTGTAGAAAAGCTGAAATCTATGTATACACATACAAATCAAAAAAGAAATTATTTTTTCTATATTATATGTCTATTGAGTAGTCCTTAAGTTTTTTATTAACGTACCACTTACCAGATTTAAATAAAATTCTCCATTTGCAAAAAAAAAAGCAGTTTAAGATTGCACTCGTATACCTCCCCGTGAAAAATTTTGAAACCATCATTACTTTCATAGTTCTTCTATTCTCCACGAGTGCCAACTTTGATTTGCCAATAAAGGTCACACTAAAACGCTACTCTCGTGGTTGACCCCAGGCTTCATTTAGTTGCCAACAAAATGAGCCTAGTATAAACTTGAAGGTTCTTGTTTTCGTTCATACCGTATGTTTCATACAATTTTTTTTTGTATGAATATACGATTCGAACGAAAACGAGAATATGGGTGAATAACACCGACAGAATTGATACATGGCTTGTTTAAAAGAGCCATTCCCATACGAGGGAAGTCCTTTGGGAATCGCCCCTTTGAACTTGTTACATATTAAATCTTTCGATGTTCAGTTTAAAACTACACGGTAAGAAAAAAGTTCCCAACGGCCAGTTCACTTTTACCTACTTTTGACTAGTTTGTCTCATTTTCTCCTTCTAATGTTGTCAAAAACGGAGGAGCAAAACCACCCAACAGGGGTAGTAAAGTATGGGAACCCAACGTTGAGTATAATTATATTTACCTACTGTTGGGTACAACTAACGTACTTTTGGTTAAAAAGCCAGTGGAAAATTCCATACGAACTGCACACAAGTAAATGAAAATTACTTTGACCCGCTTTACCTACTTTTGGGTTCCTGCACTATAGTGCCGAGATGAGTGAAAAGAACTTAATTTTGGGTACTTTTTTTTCTAACCGTTTAGTTTAAGATTTACCGGCCTTATTGTTTACTAAAGAAAAATATTCTCGCACAAATCGGGTTTAGATTAAAATATATACTGAAGATAGTATACATTTTATACTATGCTACGTGTAAACCTTGTGGATGACCATAAATGACTAAATTGTAATATATCGACGACTACTATTATATCAGAGTGTACTTGACGCATTCAAAGTTACGCCCTTTACAACACAACATTCCTTTGCGTAGCCGGTGTTGATGGTGATGGATTCTTCAATGATCGCCGTTTGTTTACCATAACATTCGCTTGAATGTGTGCACAAGGTACTGTTCAGCCTCGGGTACACTATGAAAGAAGAAAGATTGCAGCCCGAAAGCGGAATGCAACAAAAACATTGCACAGTGACAATTATTGGCGACGAGGTGCATTTCGGAGTGGTTCGGTTGTCTCGGTGAAAATTTAAAAATAATTCTGGCTGAAGAGTGTTTAAAGTCTGTGGATATGTGAATTTAGGAAAAGACCAAAGAAGAGCACGATGACAACCTGTCGGGCGTGTGCGGAGACTGTCGGCGGTGAATCTGATGCGGACGAGTTGATTCCGATTTTCTCCAAGATGCAGGATGAGTTCATTGCTAATCTCATCGTGGAATGCAGTGGCGTCGAGGTGAAGTGTGGGATATTTACTTATGAGATCGTTTTGATTTGTCTCCAGATTTCTTTGGACTTAAGATGGAAATTTTCCTTCCCATGGTGGCACAGGTGATCAAATTCATTGGTCTGTCTCATGTTTGCCAATCTACATTAAATAGTCAGTACTTATTTAATCTTCTCCGTGTGCTTATTGTTCTCGTATATTCATGACAATTCTACTGAACGACTATTGTAAATAATTAAGATACTTTTGGTTTTAAACAGAAACTTGTTGTGATGGATTCGTTAATTTTAGACAGTATTGATTGTCTTTTGTTCTAGCACTTTTGTCAAAAACACATTTCTGTATTTCAGAACAAAGAAAAACCTTTAAGGAAGCACTTTGACTATATGTTTTTAGTATTACTTCTACGTGAAGTCAACGATTTACATAGTTGAAGATGCTAATTTCAAATAACAGACTGTAGTGGTAATTTTTATACGATAGATGGAGTAGATGAAAGCATAGAGTTGATAGTTCCGTTAGAGTCTTCACACTGCCGTACTCTAACGGAACTATCAACTCTATGCTTTCATCTACTCCATCTATCGTATAAAAATTACCACTACAGTCTGTTATTTGAAATTAGCATCTTCAACTACTTTAAGGAAGGTCAAATATGAAACAATTTTGTTTAAACAATTTCAAGTAAAAATTAAAAAAAAGATAAAATGCCAAATGACTAAAAAATGCATGAAACGTCAAGCTCTGGTGTTTACTCAAAATTTTGAATTTGGCAAAAATCACGAAAAATTTTAATTTACAGGAAGTAAATTATGGACAAAAGAGTATTTTTTACAGATGACTCTAGACCTATGTAACAATTTTAGTTTTATGAGGGTGCTGAAGACCAAGATTTCGACTTGTAGAATGCTTTATAACCTCTATAAAACTTGCAATGTTACTTGGGGATCTTGTTTTAAGTCAAACAAACGAAAATCGATTATTGAAAATTCACCAAATCCCGAAAAGTCGATTATCGAAATAAAAAATTTCCATGTTAATTGAGTGGGAAGGAGTCGATCACATTTTCATATTATTTTGTTGAAAAATATTAATTTTCTTGTCCATTGCTTGATTGAGCCAATATTTTGTAAATTTAGTTTAAATGATCTTTATTTTAGTTTAACTTGGACGATTACCATATAAATTTTTACTAAGTGATTTAATGATTTCTTCATCTTTAGGTATGGGCAAAATTCAAAATTTGTTTTACAGAATTAGTCCTAGACTTAGTACACGGTCGACCACCTTGGTGGGATTGGTTTGTTTTGTTTTTAGAATTTGAAGAGAAACTACTTAATACTACTATTTACAGCTTAAAACTAACCTACTCTACTATATACACTTAACCTACTATGTACAAATTGCTTATTAAAGCATGTTCAGAAAGATTGCATTTTTGAATAAATTTAGTTGTCATATCATCAATTTTGGAATCTACTTTGGGAATTTCTGCCTCTTGATGGAGGTCTGCTATTCTTGTGTCGAATGGACGATCTAGGATCATCCTCAACACTCTATTCTGTGCAACCTGGATTTTGTTCCTGTGGGTCTGAGCGCACGATTCCCACACCGGGGCGGCATAGAAGATCGCGGGGGCTATGATCTGTTTGTAAACAGCCAGTTTGTTTTGCCTTGAGAGTTTCAAGTACTGGCTGTGTATGTGTAGACTAGACTAGACTAGCCAGTTTGTTTTGCCTTGAGAGGCGGGATCTGCGGCAAATGAGCGGATACAAACACCTAACCAAGGCGGAGCACTTAACTAGGGTTTTCTCTATGTGCGAGCGGAACAGGAGCTTCTCATCGAACAACATCCCGAGATAAGTAACATCAGTGGACCACTCGACCCTTGTACCATCCATTATTACGGTACAGGAGGGAGACGGTTTAAGTTTTAATGATTGTCTGTGAAGGAACATGATCGCTTGGGTTTTCGAGGCGTTGATTTTGATTTTCCACGTGGTGGCATAATCAGTAAAGGTGTCAAGGCATCGTTGGAGCTTGTTCGTAATTTCACGAGGCATCCTACCCTTGACAGCTATCGCGGTGTCATCTGCAAACAGAAAGAACACGCAACCGTCTCCTAGAGGAGGGATGTCCGACGTGTAGATGCTGTAAAGCAGTGGTCCCAGCAGACTCCCTTGCGGAACACCTGCTGGGATCGGAAATTGTCCCGAAAGGGAACTATTCAACGACACCCTGAACGACCTTTGCTGGAGATAGTTACGGGTGATTTTCACAAGGTATGGTGGAAAGTTAGAGTTACAAAGCTTGTATATAAGTCCGTCGTGCCAGACATTGTCAAACGCCTTTTCGACGTCTAACAAGGCCATGGCTGTGGACTTGGATACAGCTTTGTTACTTCGGATGTTATTCATCACCCGCACTAGCTGATGATTGGTGGAATGCCCCTTGCGGAACCCGAACTGTTCCGGAAGAAGAATGTCATGTTCCTCCACAAACTTGTTTAGTCGGCTGAGGATCAATTTTTCGAACAGCTTGCTCAGCGCTGAGAGCAGGCTAATCGGTCTGTAGCTTGACGGTAGTGAAGGGTCTTTCCCAGGTTTGCGGATCGGGATGATTTTTGCCACCTTCCAGATGCTTGAAAAGTAGTGCAGCTCCAAGCATCTGTTGAAGGTGGCAGCTAGCAGCGAGTGCACCCTCGGGCTGAGATTTTTCAACGCTAGGTTGAATATTCCGTCAAACCCGGGAGCCTTCATGTTCTTACTGTATTTCAGCGCTGAGCAAATTTGTTCCTCTGTAATCCGTTCTTCTGGAGGGACGGCACAAGGGGAGGCATCTAACGTCAGGACGCACTGCGCAACCTGGTTCTCGAGTGGACTTGGGATTTTAGAGCCAAGCAAATGCGACTGGGCAATGTGCTCCCCAATCGCATTGGCCTTCTCTTCGTTGGTGATAAGCCGTTCTTCATTGACTCTAAGTGGTGGAATGGGCTTGGGGTGAGACTTCAGCACCTTGGCAACCTTCCAGAATGGTCTGGAACGGTCGTCCAGGTTCTGAACGAGCCGCCCGAAACTCTCGTTCCGGATTGAGACCATTCTGGAAGCGATCTGCCGATTCAGATCGACCATTTCGTATTTACGCTGCAGATCCCCAGTCCGCTGAAACTGGCGTCTACGAACATTTCTGAGCCGAATCAAGAGTTTGGTGTGGGAATCAATTGCTTGAAACTTACCCCTCACAGGAACTCGTCGAACGCACTCTTCGTCAGCCACGGATATGGCTTGATGGAGACCCTCCAGGGCCCGGTCGATGTCATCCACTGTGTCGAGCGGTGGGTTGTCGTCGATGTGGCGGTCGACCACGCGTCGAAACTGAACCCAGTTGACTCGATGGTAGTCCTTCCGCTGGCACGGTGCAGGGGCCACGTTGTAGCCCAGCTCGGTCAGCACCGGTTGGTGGTCCGAACTCAGGTCGTTGACGGCAACCGGCTTGGCTAATCTGGTGTTTGCCAAGAACAGGTCCAGCGTCGATGGGTTGCCCGTCGGTGATGTGAAGGTTGGTTCGTCCGGAAACCAGACGGAATAGAGACCATGCTGGGAATGGTCGAATAGCAGGCGGCCGTTCTGGTTCTGCTGGTAGTTCCGCCAGGCCTCGTGCCGGGCGTTCAGGTCCCCTCCGATTACAAAGCGGGCATTGGTGTGGGTTATGATGGCAAGGTCGTTCTTGAACTGCTGTGCTGTACCATTGCTAACGGTACATTGCCGGGGGCAGTAGGCGGCGATGAACCGGACGTTTCCGGTCGATGTTTCCACCTCTATGCCAACGGCCTCGATGATGGAAGTGCGGTAGTGGGGTAGGGTGCAGTACTTGATGCCTTTCTTGATGATGACCGCGACACCGCCCCCCCTGGAGCTGGTGCGATCAAGCCGGACAATGCTGTGGTCGGGCAGCCAGAAGCTGTCACCGGTCTTGAGGTGAGTCTCGGTGAGAAGGCCCACGTCGATGTCGTGCTTGCGGAGGAAGTCTGCAAGCTCAATGTTTTTCGCCCCTACGGAGCGAGCGTTCCAGTTGGCGATCTTTATGGGTTTACGGTCCATAATTAGCGACGAAGGAGATGATAGCTTGGAGCTGTTGTGTTCTTGTTGCGCAGGTGCGCTTGATGATGATGGCCTGGGCCAACAGTGTGACGATCTCATCCGTTGACAGCGGAGAATCGTCTGTAGCTTCACCGGTTGTACCGGCCAATCCCGGAGCAGGGGGATCCGTCGATGGGCCGGAGGCTTGACTGGGTACTGCAGCGGCAGCCGACTGGGCAGCAGCCAACTGTTGGTTGAGCGGGAGCGGCGCCAACACTGGAATTGGCCGTGGTTGGACCGGTGATAACGGAGGAAAGTTCTGCGCGTTGTTTTCCGGGACCTTCTTGCGACCGGGCTGGTTGTTGGACGAGGCCTTCTTCCGGATCTCGGCGTATTCGGCCCGCTTCGGACAGGCCTTACTCGTGGCCTTGTGGGCAGCACCGCAGTTGGCGCATGTGGGAGCGGCTTCCTCGATGCTGTCGCAGTCGTCGATCTTGTGGTTTTTGCCGCATTTGATGCAGCGGCTGGCCATGCGGCAGTTCCTGGTGCCGTGCCCAAACAATAGGCAGTTCGAGCACTGAGTGACGCCACGGTGGGTTGGCTTATACCGCTCCCACTTCACTACGATGTGGAACAGTGTGCGTGTCGTATGGAGATCCTTCACGGTTGTGGAGTTCTTCTGCAGATGGACCAAGTAGAGCTGGTCACGATACTTGATGGCCTTGCTGCGGGTCATCTTGTGGATTTCGACCGGCTTGAGGCCGTTCTCCTTAATCTCGTCCATTAAGGTGGTGGTGTCCATGTCGTGGAGCCCGCGCAGCACCACTTTCAGCGGCTTGGTGGCCTCGACGTCGTGGGAGAAGTACTCCAGCTTCATCCTGTCCAAGAGGGCCTGGACTGCGTTGTAGTGATTTTCGGCCGAGACCATCA